AAAAGAAAAAGATTTTCCACTAAACTATTAAAAAGAGATTAATTTAAAAATAATTATTTTGCATAATTTTATACTGACATTTGCTATGAAAAGAACATGTAGTTTTTCATGAAAATAAAATGATTGCTTCTCCACTGTTGGAAGGAAAATACAGCCATTTTAAGTAATTTTTGTTAATTAGGATGGTGTTTAAATTCAGCAATAAATGATAATAAAAGTATTGAATGCAATGGTACCCATTGTACCACAAAACTGGATGGATAATTAAAACATCAGCTGCAAAAACAATGGTAAGACAAAATGATTGGCACCAGACAATAATTTTGAGCATCCTTTGAGCTCAGGGCTCAGTTGTCAACCCTTCTGAACAAGAGACAGAATGGTCTTTCGACGTGGGATACAGTTAGGGTTTCAGGAGCTGAGTTTGTCAGGGTTTTAATTCTTATTGCAGGACTGCAAGTTACAGAATTTCATTTGGGTGCTAGGGGTAGAATACAAGTTATCTCCTATCACACCATCTTGAAGAGCCCCCACATGTGCCTCCTTTCAAGCCAGTTTTAGAGCTCAGACTTGACTTAAGAGGAGAGACAAATCAAGCCATGGATTTAGAATGACTATCATGCACTATCATGTGCTTAGTTTGGGGGCAGCTGGAAGCTGAGAGTTCCTGCACTGGGCTTTTGGCTGCTGTGACCCCCACGTTCAGCCTGGCCATAGGCTGCTCAAAACCTGTCTGTCTTGGCAGCACACCTTGTCCATGCTGGAGGACTATCACCCAAGTTGTTAGTCCCTTAAATCACTACAGGCACAAAGGAGAAAAATATCAATGAATATAAAAATATAAAAAAATTAAAATATAAGATGTTGGCCACATGCTGCTCCATCCTAGATACTCAGGTGGCAAAAGCACATAGAGATGCTCCATAGAAAAAGGTGGAGGTTTTGTTTGTTTGTTTTTTTGTTTTGTTTGTGTTTGTGTTGTTTGTTTGTTTGTTTTTGTTGTTGCTGTTGCTTTCTCTCCATGCTGAATTGTCTAAAGCTGGTTCTGGAAACTAAACAGCAAGTAGATATTTTACATAATATTTTCATGCCTTTTTAAGACATGCCTTACAATAATTTTCAGAGGTTACCTGCCAGCTCTGCTAGTTCTGTAGATTTAGAATTGCTTAGAAATTATTATTTTACTAGGGCCTGTTCTCTTGAGCACACTACAATAGAAATGACAAAATGCTACTGCATAGAAAATAATAAATCTAGGCTAGCATCATTTCATACAGTGCACTGACAGGCTTCTGAACATGGAATCTGGAGAACTGCTCCATCTTCCTACTGGAAAGATACAACAGACCATCCTGGTCCTCCACTGGAAGTATCACAGCTCTTCAAGGCTGCAGAAATTTCATGTATTTCATAGCTGCAACCAGAATAGTGTATCATTTTGGTCCCTTGCCCAGGACTTCTTGTGCATGCAGGGAGCTTGATGCAGCCTTTCATTGTAGTGCTCTTATTATGTCAAAAGTTACAATAAGTCTTATTCCTAAAATAATAGTTTGGTACTCTGATACTGCCTAAACAGTGTTTAGCCATTCTACTGATGTAGCCTGTAGTCTTACTGTTTCAATCATCCCATCCTTGAAGAGTTTAAACAGTCACAAAGCCTCATATTTTTTCAATCAAACTTGATACTCGAACAGCATAAATGGTAGAAATGGTTACTTAATTTTATATGTATCTCAAAACCAATTCCAGAGTTGGAATTCGTAGACCACCTACATGACTGACCATCTGGTTCCTTTCCCGTTCTGTGTACTTTATTATTTTGGCTTAATAGCAGTGTTACTATATTTGTATGATTTTGCAGCATAATTTTGGCTTTTGCTTGTTTGTTTGTTTGTTTCCTTTTGTTTTCAGTTGGGTTTTTTTTTTTTTTTTTTGTATTTGTCTGCCCCAGGCACTCCAATAGGCTGACACAAAGTATAGATGATTTAAGGGTGCTCTTTAAATTAATACATCTTTCCTAGTCATTGGTATTTTGCAGTAGGTTGGGATGTGCTGACTAAGTGTTGCACTGCAGAATTTACTGAAAGTAAATCCATTCTGCCTGAGTGGAGGGTGTACAGCAGGGATGCCAAGAGACCTCAATAAGCTGAGCATTTTGCTAAGGAGCTCCTCTTTCAGGAGTGGATGGAGATCACCACCACTGGGCATTCTTATATAAGGGCTCACCATCAGTATTTGCTTTGTGCCCAGGGATGTGCCTTTTAGTCTTGCCACGGCAGTGCCCCAAGAGTCCTTGTGGAGCTGGAACCATGCCATGAGATAGGCACAGTCTGCCATGATTTCCTCCTAAAAATTGTCCTGATTTTATGTCAGGTTTCTTGCCAGAAGTTGCATTATAACCTCTTCGGGTAATTTTAGGGTGGTGTTATATTTTTGAAATACAGAGAAATTTTATTCTTTCTCATTCTTTGCAAAGGTAGTAGAGCAATATTAGAGCCATTGCTGAAAAGTATGATTTCCAATGCAGGAATATAGATTCGTGACCAAGTACATAGCAAAATGGAGAAAAGAAGCAATTTGTTAAAATGTTCTTTTCCAAATATTCATAGCCTGGTTTTTGAGGTTGTCCTGTGCCGAATCAGAAGTTGGATTCAATGATTCTTGTGGGTCCTTTCCAAGTTAGGTTATCCTATGATTCTATTAAATATTCCATTCAATTTTCCCTAAGATAGCTTGAACTTCTTTAATTGTGGGGCTTTTTTCCCAACTTCTCCTTCTGCTGGTTCCAAAACTATTTTGAATTCCAAATTTGAAAAGGTACACTAGTTCTTCAAAGCTCAAGGAAGGCAAGATTTGTATTAGCCTGACTTATTTTACTGCAGTAATCCTCAGGCATACTTTAGAGATAGCAGCTATTATATTGTCATTATGTGGAACAATTGTATATACTTGTGTATAACACATAAATGATACAAGAAAAATCTCTTTCTCCTCCCAGTAATACTGGTAATACTACTTTTTTTACATCTTCTGCCACAGCTGTACAGAAATGTTGCTATTTCTGGGTAACACAAAGTGCCATTGCACTCAGTTTTGTGAAAAGGCATGAATTAATATATCCTTTCCAAGCAAAGTCATGGGTATATGTTGCATAGATAGAATGTAATCTCCGTTTTTGAGTAATACAAAGGCACTGTATTTTGGCAATACATGGTCAGAACTGTGTTTTCATAATTCCCTGAGAAAATCCCAGTTCCACAAACCACAATGTGTTGACTCTGTGGTAGCAGGGAACAGTTTTATTTATCTGGATATCCTGACCACACACTCTGTATGTTTTCTTTGGATGATTTGTGATGAGTAGGTTCAGTCACAGTAGATTTTGTCTTCACTGAGAGAAAGCACTCAAACAAATCCGTATGACCTATGGGTCATAAAATTCTTTATTGCTATATTCCTGAATTTATACATTGTATTTTTAACAGCATTAAAGTAATTATAGATGATTCATTCAATGAAAACATTTGCTTATCTTCAGAGGAGTCTCTGATTACCTCTTTCTTTTTTGACATCTCAAGCTATAGGCTCAGTCTTCCAGTTTGGTTACATCATTTTCCTTGGGTTCAGATAATGTCTCAATCTGATTTGATAGTAACAAACTCAGTAGAGAGCATAAAGCAGATGCCCATGGCTATTTTTAGAGGAAACTAAATTAAAGCTGTGGTAGAAGGACCAGTAAATCTCCATCTAGAAGAAAACTGCTAAAGCCACCTTACAGTGCGAAAAGGAATTAATGGAAGAGAAGATTGGGAGATACTGCTGGTTTTGGCAGAAAGAGAGTTAATTTTTTTTCACAGTAGCTGCTATGGGGCTGTGTTTTTGATTTGTGCTGAAAACAGTGTTGACAATGTAGGGATATTTTCATTATTGCTGAGCAGTGCTTTCTGCCAAAGCCTTTTCTGCTCCTCACATTGCCCCACCAGTGAGGGGGCTGGGGGTGTAGAAGGAGTTGGAAGGGGACACAGCTGAATAGCTGACCCCAAGTGACCACAGAGATATCCCAGACCATATGGCATCATGCTCAAGATATAAATCTGGTGAAGATGAAGGATATGTTCAAAATCTTGGCATTTATCACTTCGCAAGTCACTGTTATACATGATGAAGCCTTGCTTTTTCCATGGGCAAACTGAAAACAGCTTGCCCATGGAAAGCAGTTAATTAATTGCTTTGCTTGTTCATGGGGCTTTTGCTTTACCTACTGAATTATCTTTATCTCAATGCACGAGTTTTCTTGCTTTTACCCTTCCAATTCTCTCCCTCATCATGCTGGTGAGGGAGTGAATGAGCAGGTGGGGCTTTGTTGCCAGCTGGGGTGAAACCTGACACAGATGAAGTGCAAAGAACACTGATGAAGTTATAATAAAATGGACCAGGAGTTACTTTCTTCCTCAAAATATTTCTGAAGTCTAAGTTTTATGCCACTGTTTTTTTTTGGTATTTTTTAAGGATGACCAAGGCTGATGGTAAGATTTTTTTCCCATTGGCTTTCCTAGTTAGGAGTTTAGCATGACAGTCTGGCTCCAAACAGAATTGCTGGCAGGTAAAGCCCAGCAATTCTAGTTGTTGCTAGCATCCAGCACATAAAAGGGGTAAATATCAAGGCTGTGAAATATTTTTAGGAGAAAAAGTTTCTGAATAAGACCAACATGAAATCAAGGGTCATGTTTATTTTGTCTGAAAAAGATGTCCCAGATGCTGTGCAACCTAAAATTAAAACACATATTAGTTCCTCTTTTCAGACTGTTGCCACTGGAGGAAAAGTAGGGTAAGAGCAAAAAGGTGACTAGCAAGAGGGCCATGATACTGTCAATTGAAATTGGAAAGTAATTAAAAAATAAAGGATTAGACAATGTAGGAAAATACTTTGACAGATACAGTAGATATTGAAACAAACATTAAATATCATCATTTCTCTTCCCATGCATTCTTCTTGCAAGTAGCAGCAAAGGAGCTCATCATTTGGGGAAGAAGAGGAAGAAGGTTGATTCTGGTACGATTCCCCTTCAGCCTCACAAAACCCAGGGCATTGCACAAAGGGTAAGTTAAGATGTGTGCCGGCATTCCCTCCAGCAAGTAGAATGATTTCTTGCAGCCATGGTTGCCCATGGAGCAGAGCAGTGGCCAGGCAGTCAGCACTGAGAGGGCACCTGAGGATTCCCCTGCGGCTACAAAGGACGCAGAAGCCCCGGCTGGAACCATCGGAACTGGCTGTGCAAAGCAAGGGCACGGTGTCATGTTGCAGGATCGCTGTACAGCCTGCTGCCCGACAGCTTCTCTGCAAGCAGTGCCAGCATCCTCTGGGTCCAAGGCCAAAAGCTAATGGGGATGCTCTTGTGAGTAAGCATTTCTGGACTGAGTGCTCTGTAATCTTCATGAATTGTATCTCCGGAGAGAAATTTCTCAAGATTGCTTGCAGACCCCTGCCTCCCTCTATCTCTGCATTGTGTGTTCGGTGGCTTAGCCTGGACATCCACTATTGCAGCAGCAGCAAATGCAGAAGAACTAGACAGGTGTCTAACATATCTCCAGATCTGAACTGCCTGACCAGGGTAGCCACTAACACTTTCATTCCATTTTCATTCCATGAGAATTGTTTTTCAGTGTCTTCAGCATAAATTCCCATTTAAAAGTTTTTCCTAGGGTTTTTGTTCTGTTTTGCTTGGGGTTTTTGTGTTCGTTGGTTGTGTTTTTTGGGATTTGTTTGTTTTGTTGTTTTTCTTGGTTTGTTTTGGTTGGGCTTTGTTTGTTTGGTTTTGGATGTTTTTCTTTTTGTTTGTTTGTTTGTTTGTGGGTTTGTTTTTTTTTTTTTTTTCTTTGTCTGAGCATGAGCAGGAAAACAAATCTACACAAGAATCTAATAAATACTGAAAGCCAGCCTGGGCTATTTTGGGTAGATGCATCTATAGTAATAGTTTACACTGAGTATTTAATTAACATTATCATAAAGTTCTCTTTATGATAAATAAACCAGAATAAAACCAGCTGATCTTTCAAGAACTGAATTTGTCCTCTGCTGTTATTGGCAGTAAAAACTGATAAAGTATTACTTTAGTGTGCAGTGTAAGCTTAAATAACTCTCAAAAAATGAAAGGAGCCCACCTGCCAAGGTAAACTATGTGTTTTACCTTTGTCCCAGAGATGTATTTATATTAAATCATATAGTTGGCCCTCATTGTTCTTCTGTTTTCTCATGTATAAATCACAGATTTTCTTGGCTTTGGAAAGCTGTTTGAAAAGGTGGATATAAATTCTTCAAGATGAGCAAAGTAAGAAGTGCTTTATCTCTAAGTTTTCATTTACACTAATTTTCTTCTGCTCAATTTCCTACATGTATAGCTTGATTTTAAGGAAGTTTCTGCTAGTGTTACACAGTTGTTTGAGGGTTTTACCTTAAGTATTTATGCTCTTGATGTAATTGATTGGAAAAGTAAGGAGATGTCCATATGCAAAGGAGTGAAAGTGAAATTATGTAACACAAGAGGATGATCATCCTCCTTTTGCAGTCTCCTAACCTGAAGGGTCATCTCATCTACTCTCTAGATAAATTCTAAGCAGGCTGTGATAATATTAACAAAATGAATTTATAATATTGTGAGTTTATCATTTGCACGGACTTTAAGATCCAGGCATGCTGAAGAAAAGTCTACCTTAAACTCACGGTTTTTTATGTTTTCCTGAGAGAGTAAAAGTTTACTCTATTGGTATAATAGTATATCCAGTAAAATATAGCAGCATAGCTTTCTTTTTACTTGTGATACAATGCCTCTGGCTTAGTATAAATTCATTATGCAGTACGCCCAGTTTACTGAAATTCTGGAAGCTGATAACAATAATTAAAATACTACATGACAAGTAGTATTTTATTATGCAATCCCACAATGCCTCAGTGAGTTACTAGGCTCAGAGCCAACTGCTTTGAACCACCTGGAAGAATTATTTTTACACCTATCATGGATAGTGTTAGGGAATGATCTGGTGGGCTTGCAGATTTGCAGTTATCAAACACCAATCACACTGGTAATATTTCATCTCCTGAGTAACTAAACTGATACTGAGTCAAGTGACAATGACCACGGGTGTATATTGCTACTGCTTTAATGACTGATGGAGCTAAACACATGGCCCAAGACTTAACAACAGGCCCTTAGTCAGCAGGCAGAGCCCCAAATGCAGCTGTGGGTGTTGTTATAAGCTAAGACTGGCTGCAGGTGTTTCAGGAGGAAGGGGAAGAAAAAAAGCAGCATCTTTGTATAGGCATAGGATATGCCTAAGAAATAAGGTGTGCATGAGCCAGATGTTGTGAATGTGCTTAACATTTCATATTTGTAAATATGTGTAAATTTATCTGAGTAGCTTAAACTATCTTAAAAGGTTACATTTCCAGAAAATGGGATATCCTCAGTCTGGATACTTCATCCTCTGATGTTCAGTTATTGCCTCAATTTTCAAATTTATTTGTGTACCTTTCCAAGGATTTGCTCACACTGGGACAAACCTGGGGCATGATGAAGTCACAGCAAAATCACAATTATTTCACTGGGATGATTATTCTTGTGTGGTGGTTTTGTGACTTCAAGATATTGCCAAGTTAAAATTTGTAGCATTTCTCTAGTCTGGACCACAATAACTTCATTTCTTGTCTTCATTGCAACCATAAGATCACAATGATTGGTCCTTGTATTGCTTAACTTAACATTGCATTCATGTACGTTAGGTAATGAACACATCAGGATTTCCCAACAGTAGCCATGTGAAGTTAACTTTGAAAATGCACCATGAGTATTGGGCATAGTCATGTTCTCTAAGAAAGACACTAAACCTGGGTTTCTAGGAAGGATATTATTTTTAATGTACTCTTAATAAAGTCTTCCTAATTTCTGTTCCCTGTATTGTCAGGAGAGAAGGAGGTGGTGTTCAGAGCAAAAGGCTAACTGGGGTGCTGTGAGCACAACGCAAGAGCATCCCTTTTCCTCTGCTTGTTATAGTGGGAACTGAGGATACTGAAACATTAGATGCCAAAAAAAATTACTTGAAAAAAAAATTAAGCTTCTCCTATTAAATTTTGTGTTGTATATGGAAAGTAACCAAGTTACTAGTTTTGCATGAAGGATGAAGTAGTTTTGGTTGCTCAGCTAATGACAACGCATTGTTTCTTAGAAGATACTGAGTCTTATGGGCACATGTCATGATTTAGGAATGATACTCCCCGGTTCAGTGCTCCACTGAGACTCTCCAAACCATGTTGCTTCTTGCTTGCTCCCCTTCCTCCTCCCCCTCTCCTGTACTGTATGGAGAGGAGAATTGGAGGCAAAAAAAAAGTAAAGGGTTGAGGTAAGAACAATTTATTGGAAACAGCAATGAGATAAGAAAACAAACACTGACAATATGAACAAAAAAGTGTACAAAAGAGAGAGTGATTCAATTGCAAAATGCTCACTGCAGAGCTTGACCTGACCACAGCCACCACCTTGGCTGCTCCACCCAGCTCCTAACCAGTGCCACTCACCTACTCCCTCTGGCTCAGAGCCAATGTTACCCCACTGTTTCTCTGCCATGCCTCCTCGACAGAAAAGAACCCCTTCTCCTCAGAAAGGAGACCCTTTCCCCTGCCCCTGGAAAAAGTGTGAAGTGGTCTAAAATAATCTCCAAGTCCTGGACATGCCTCCTCCAGACTACCGCAAAAATTAGTCCTGGCTGGAACTAGGAGAGTAATTGAACTGAAGAGCATGAATGCTTTGTCACTTGTTCAGTGGTTTTATTGCTGAGTTTCATCTAAACTTAACTGTCCAATAAGGCATTTGAAAAAAAAAAATTCTGTTCTTAATGAGTGAAGGGCCTTTAAGCAGTTTTGCCTTGAGTGTTTCCTCTAGAACATCATTTTGTACTACACTAGCAAAAATTCAGAATGCAAATTCAGATTATGTACGAACACAAAATTCAGACAGACAGTGTGATCATGACAGTCCCATGCTCTTTGAAACCCACCTGGAAAGAGAGCTCAAATTCCACAAGTCTTTGCCACGTTCTATAACACAAAAGGGAATTTGAAACATGTAGTGGTAATTTCTGTTGCCTGGCTGACTGGTAGGCTGGTTTAGGTGCTGTCTAACAATGGCTTGGTCTTGCATAAGCCTACAGCAGAGGGACCACATGGTGACAGAAGATGCCATTTGATTTCTCCCCTGGGTGACCATAGGGTCTGTCATAAAATGAAAAAAAAAAAAAAAAAGAAAAAAAAAGGGATAACTGATCAATATCTGGATTGCAAGAAAACTAGAGAAGTGCTGCAGGCATAGAGTTTGTGAGCCTGTACACAGGCTGGAGGTGTACAGTGTTAACCTGTCATTTAAATCAGTTGTGTGAGAAAAAAATGTATGGAAGATGTTTGGGAAATCATAAACCTGGAAAACTTCTGTGCAATGATTAGTAAGGAGTCTGTCTGAATATATATTTAAATGCCATATAAACTCTCCATCTTAGAGAAAACACTTAGCAGAAATCTTTGATCAAACTTCATTTGTGGAAGTTGCTGACAGCAAAGAGAAAGGGCAAATGGCAAAGGGCATCATCTCTATAGAAACACCGTCACCAGAGGCTTATGAACCATGTTTCCAAGAGCAGAGCTGGACAAGAGAAGTGGAGCTATCACAACTGTGCTTTTCCCAGCTATAGACCTGTCATGAATAGCTATGCTGCTTCTTGCTTCACTGACAGCTTAAAAGAAATGCAGCCTATAACTACACTGTAGCCAGATCAACCTGACTTCTCTTTGTTATCAAAACGTTTCCCACAATGTGTTAACACTGGAGAGCACAGACAAAACCCCATGCTTTAAGTTTTAATTTGCTATTATAACCCTAGGGGAAAATGCTATCCATGAAGTTTTCCATGAAATATAATACGAGAATGGGTTGGAAAAAAAAAAAGACAAATGAAGATTTTCCTGCTATGCTGCTCTCCCTGGTGGTGTGATGGCCTTAAAAGCTGGTTTAAAACCAGATCTCTGCAGGTGGCTGCAGAAGACAAGCACAGCCTGTACCACCTGGCTCTGAAGAAATTTCCACTGTGATTGCTTATAAGCAAGTTGCCTTGAAAGGTGCTATACCATCAGCAACTGCTGCCAAAAGTGCTCCTTCTCTGGAAGTTTCAGGGTTTTAGCACTAGGACTCCATCCAACTGAAGGCTCAGCAGTGACGGTAAAGCAAAGCTAACAATCAGCTCAGCTAGACAGAGAGTAGTCTCTTTGATGTAGGTAAGGAAAATTGCTTTTCTCAAACAGCAGCATTCAAGATTTCCTTTGCATTTTTTGTTTTTCTTGCATTTTACCTGGATCAGAGTAAAGGGGGGGAGGAGGGCTTGAGACTTCTAATGCATACCTTGTTATGAAAATAGGTTAGTATTGTATTCCAGCATCAGTCTTGTACAAAACAGAACACTATCTATTACAAAATTCCATTCCTTCACCTCCTAAAAACTCATCAATATTTTCACTTTTTTCTGCTGTTGTGCTTTGAGTCCTCAGACTCCATTAGTTCTATCTCTTATCTAAAGGCAATGCTGGAGGATGGCTAAACTCCCTCACACAGAGCAGGGAATCGTGCCAGAACAGATTGCAAGGAGAGTGATGCAGCACAACTCAGATCCCTCCTTCTCTCAAGATAGAAACTGGGCTTTGAAAACAATAAGCCTCTCCACCAGGCATGCTCAGAATCTCCCCACTGACTCCTGATTACTGTTGGCATCCACTTACTGCCTGGAAAGTGTAACAAGCCTAGCCCCAGCTCTTTTCTGATGCACCACTGGGTGAATCACTGGTTTTGTAGTTTTGAAAAATATAAATATTTGATGAGCTACAGACTATCATTGTCTCCCAACTCCTTTTCCTGCACTGTATTTTTCACACAGGAACCGCCTTTGTGTCCCTACAAAGATCACATATCTACCGCTGTGAAATTAACTGTTAAGGTGAATGCATCTAGGTGTACCCTAGATAATAATTTAAATCCTATTATCCTATACTTCAGATGACAGAACGACTTTGCAAAGATTTTCTCCTGCAATAGCCAATGTCTTTAGCAATTTTCCCTGGATTTTTCAAATGTCATAACTTTTCAGGGCTATTAGTTGAATTCAACATGGGTTAAAAAAACTCCTAGAAATGCTGCAACAGTGGTAGATTTTATTGCCTTCACCAAAGTATTGGTCTGAGACTGGACAGTAGCCCCCAGTTACCTCTGAAGATAGCAGTGTTAAGCTGGCAAAATATAAGTCAGACTAAGGGTAAGGTCACCAATAAGATAAGAACAGAAATACTCTATTCAGAGTGCTGTGGAAATAATAAAAGCCAAATAATTAGCATAAATTTTCAGGGAAGAGTAAAGATTATAAAATTAATATAAACGTCTCTTTTTTTTTTTTTTTTTTTTAATTCAGTGTCATCTTTCTATGACAGAACTTGGACAAAGGGATTTTTGAGAAGCCTGATACAAGGACCTGGGAGCTTCCCTGTAGTTATTAACAGAAAGGAATGTTATCGATTTCAACACCTGAGAAAAATCAAAGCAATCCTGACATCAAGGTGACCATAAAAAGATGCTTGCTTGGTAATTCAAACCATGAGTTTTGACAAAGAACTTTCACAGAGACAAAAAACATTCACAGAATCTCACAGTAAAGTTTGTTCCTTGTTTTCTCTATGGCTAGAACAGTTCTTGTCATTTACTGCACAATGAAAATAGTTTACGCTCTAATTTTCAACAGTCCCCAGTTACATTAGAAATTCTAGCCCAACACTCTTATATTACTCCCTGAAACCCAATATCCTGCATCTTCACAGCTCACACACACATTTAAACTGAATGCTTTTATTTGGATTATTGCAGCTAGAACAGAAAGAATCATTACAACATCTCCTCGATGAAACACAGAGTTTGTATGATGCACACAATATAATTCCACTTGGAAGGGAACAACCCCAGAACAGGATGTGACCCTCACTCAATACCTAAGGAGACACAGCACAGCTTTGACATGGCATGACTGCATTGCTACTCAACAGCAATAAAGATATGTGTTCAAGAAGTGTGCGAGGCCAGGCTGGATGAGGCTTTGGGCAACCTGGTCTAGCAAAAGTTGTCTTTGTCCATAGTAGAAGGGTTGGAACTAAGTTTGATCTTTAAGGTCCTTTCCAAACTCAATAATTCTGTAATGGTTAATATTCCAGACAAAGCCTTGGATTACATGTAATTCCCCCTACATGCTAAAAAATGTAAAATCTGTACACTACCATCTAAAAAATAAGCGTATGAAGCCCCAGACTTTCACTTGGGAATACTCTGTTTGGGGCCATATAACTGTTTTTGGTAATGTTCTTGTAGCAACTTGAACTTAAAAGATTAATTAGGTGCCAAATTCCACCAAAATGATCAGGAAAAAAGAGGCAAGACATTAAGAAACCAAGAGCCGTACAGCTTCTTAGTTTTGTATTGTCATGGACTCTTTCAGCCCCAAAAGAGAAGGAATAATATCTTTGACTCTGATCTCTTATCCTGGATTATTTCAGTTACTGGATCTTTTTTCCTATACAAAACACAGCTGGTTTTTTTTCATGAATTAACTTCTGACAGAGAATCAGCTTTGGTGAAGTAACAGATTTGAGTTTCTGAAACAGTTACTTCAGGCTTGGGTAAGCACTTCTGTAGATGAGGAGCAGAGCTATTTCCAGGTCCATTAGAGAATAAGAGTGATGCCATGGTGATCAATGCAATTATTTTGCTTCAGATGGAAATGGTTTGGCAGGGACATTGCAAAGGGACATTAACTGAAATCTTTATTTTTTATTAGATAAATGATGAAGATGGTTTCTATGTTGTTTTAAATGGATGTTTGCTCACTTGTATTTTTCAGTGTAATCTGTAATCCAGTAAATTTACAATCCTTTTAATAAACATAAGTCTAAAAATAGTATTTGGTAATCAGGACACAGGATGTACAGAATAGCAATTTAGTAGTCTACATCTAATTGCTGAAAAACATACCTGAAAGTGGAAAATACATAGAATGATCATAGAAGGTTGGGTGGAAAAAGACCTTTAAGATTATTAAATCAAATACTGCAAAGTCCTCAGGTAAACCAAATCCCTCTCTAAGTGCCACATCTATACATCTTAAGTACCTCCAGGGATACTGACTCATCCACTACCCTGGGGAGCCTGTTCTAATGTTTGACAGCCCTTTCAGTGCAGAAATTTTTCCTAGTATACAATCTAAACCTCCCCTGGTGAAACTTGACCGCATTTCCTCTTGTCCTATCACTTCTTACCTAGGAGAAGAGACTAACCCTCATGTCTCTGTAACCTCCTTTTAGGTAATTGTGGAGTGTGGTAAGTCACATTTCACACCCCACCCCAGCCCTGAGCCTCCTCTTCCCCAGGCTAAACACCCTCAGCTCCCTCAGCTGCTCTTCACAGGACTTGTGCTCCAAAACCTTCTGCAGCTTCATTGTCCTTCTCTGGACATGCTCCAGCACCTCTTTTCTTCTAGTGAGTTGCTCAAAACTGAACACAGGATTCGAGATGTAACTCCCCCCACATCCAAAAAAGAATGGAGATTCTCCTTAGCTCTCTTTCTGTTGTTAATGCATTTATAGAATAGGATACAGACTTTATGTTCCAGTTATGAAACAATATAAATATAGAAGAAATATTATATTCCTTCTTTTGTTACAAACAAGGGGCATATGCCATGAACAGCATTTTGCTTTCACTTAAATTCTTTATAATCATTATTCCTTCTTTTCAACTGAACCAGCCCCACCACCCCCCAACAGAAAAAAAAAAAAAAAAAAAAAAAAAAAAAAAAAAAAACAAACCAAAAAAAACCACCAAAAATAAACCCCCATAAGCTAGTGATGGATGAACTAGCTAAAACGTGGTTTAAAGCTGTCTACATGCTTGATATATGTGTACAACAGCATTCAACATTTGAAAAAATAAAGTGAGCTGCCATGAGATAAGATTCCATGAGATATTTGACAGATCCCCTTTAATTTGCATGCTGGGTAATGCTGGAGTTGTTGGATGGATGCCATGAGTACAGCTCTGAAAAAACTATCCAGATAATTTTGATTTTGTCCTCCATCAGTGTAATGATATCACAGGAGGCTGATGATGGAATTTCTTGTTTGAGGCATGACGCTCCTTGCAATTTTGATTCTTTTACCCAGCAATCATGTTCTTATGAACTGAGGTCCTGACAGGAACATTTTCATACCCCTACCTTTATGGGTACCTTTTTTTCCTTTCCTTTTAAGAAAGAAGCCAGGCTATTTGTTCATTTTTCATGATAAATTTGAACCGTGATGTGACCATTGCATTTTCCCTTTTTCCTTATTTTTTCAGTTGCTATCTTATGGACTTGTTTTCTTTCACTGACAAGGAGCCAATTAATAGATTCTTAAGTGGTATGATTTGTTATTCAGTATCAATGTAGTAAATCCTTTCGTGTAGTTTGCCAAAAACCAGAGGCCTTAATTTCCCTGGTTTCACATTCCTGCTTCAGCTGGCAATGTTGGAAATGCAATAATAAAAAAAAAAATTGGATGCATATAATGATTTTCCTATAAATATGAGATATCACTTGGCCGTCAAAATGGATGATCACATTGTGTTTTACTGATAAATGGTGTTTACCTTTTAGATTTAATGTATAATTTTTAAAAATGCTTTAACTTGCAAAACAAAAACATCTACAAAGTAGTGGTGCTTTCTTTGAAGGCACAGGCACATATGCTTCATATCTCAGTAGTAACACACTGATTCGCAGCAACCACAGCTTCTGTGACATGTGTTTGGATTAAAGTAATAAAATAAATGAAATGTTTGGATTCCAAAATACTGGCCAGATCTTTTATTTATTGACGAATGTAAAAGAACTTGCTTTTGAGGGTATGCAGGAGGAGGCAGGGAGCAGTTGGATGCACTCGAATGAAACCAATTTACAGAGCAGTCTTTATTCTGACAGAAAAAAACACAGTCACTGTCTTATTGTCCACAGCCAATCACATCAGTGTGAGACTGGGCACTGCTTTCAAATTACATTGGACTGACATATACTTATTTATTAATCCCATCCCTTGAGCAGGCACTATTTAATTGCATACTCAGACAAAGTTTAGTACAAGTCGGATCAGAAGATTCATGAAAGAATCATGATGAAACTGGATTTGATCTTAATATCTACATCACTTGTCAAATCTTTATTCATGAAATAAGAAACACTGCTGAGTTTCCACTTCGTGATGCTATTCTGAAACTACACTAAGCTGCCAGAAGAGGTTCAGAAAAATCTAGGATACAGGGCAGAGAAAATTCATCTGTCAGAATTTTTAAAAAGGGGCTCTTGCAGGGTCTGAACTGACTCTGAGGTTTCTGAAGAGCTGACTGATCTCTGCTTTTCAGAATTTAAGCACTTCAAACAATAATGGCCTTATGAACCAAGATAATACACATTTAGTGTCTGCTATGTTAAAATCTCTTCTTCTTTGGTAGGGAGACTCTTCTACTCAGTGCCATCTTATTTCCATGCATGCCCCCTCCCAAAAAAAAACCCCACCCAACAGTCTGGAGGTTGCACTACAGCAGGTGCTTAGTTTTTGCTTTGACAATGCTTGTTTCTCCCAGCACAGGCAGCTCAGGCTGAGCTGGTACTCAGAAGCAGCTCTTGCTTAGAAGCTGGCGGAGCAGCTCAGTGTGGACACAGATGTCCCACCAGAGGTGTACAGCATTGCAAAGCCTGGGCCCAAGGACACAGAATTAAGTAGGATGGCCCTGCTGCTCTTAAGACTAAGCAATATTTTAAAGTGGCCAACGATTAGTGGGTGATGGCTGGTAAATAAATGAGCACACTGTGCTGTCAGATAGCCATTGCCATGTATTGACTGGTGGAGTTATTCTGGATGTGTACAGGTAGAGAAGAGATCAGCATCCTGCCTGCTATATGGGTTGTAAATACAGAATAGCATAGCATATTAAAATGAAATGTGTGCCAGCCTTTTATATACAGCTTGTTTAACTTCAAAGGGGCTTCTATAGCACAAAAGCCATCTCATTTACAAAAAAAAGCAAACCAAAAATAAACAAAAATACTCTTCAGAACTGAGATCATTTGCCTCCATCTTATACATTGTATACCTACTTATAATACGCAGTATACCTACTTATATTAGTTCCAGTGTGACTCTAATGATAAGAAAAATAGCAGTCCTATATTCACTTTTTTCCCACTGCACATCCATCTTCTGTATTAGACACATTTTACTCTACAGCCTTTCAAGATTATCCCTTTTTCCCTCTGAGTTGCTGTGTGTCTGAAGTCAGGCTTGTCCTTTGCTGTACAGACTGAGGAGGGGAAGATATGGAAACATGGTCTGTGTTACCACACATCCATACACACAAGCCCCAAGCATGTCTGGGAGCACAGGAGACCCCAGTGGCTGTGCAGCCCCCTGTCCATCCCCCTTGTACTCATCCTGCAGCTGCAACCAGGCTGGACAACAGCCTTTTTTCCCCCCACCCATGCTGGAACTCCAACAGTGTGAAAAACAGAGTGCCAGGCATGACATGAGGTGATCCCTGATACATCCTATATTACAGACTCCCTGGACTGTGTACCCAGGGGTCAGTGGGAATCTGGAAGTCTAACATGTCCAAGCAGTGTTTTCCTGGGTTTTTTTGAAGGAACGAAACCAGTTCCTAGTTTAATATGTATATGTGTGGGGATGCTGCCCATCCCACGATCTGGGAAAGTTCAGAGAATACATCTATTACAAAAGAACTGGGAATGAAAAATTCTTGTGAAATTCAGCCTATGTTCATAGCCACACAAAAAGCATAAAACCTCCTAATTTCCTGGTCTTCAAGAGAGTCTGCCAGGATAAAGAAAATATAGTTTACTAATGTAAGAAATAAGCACACTGTGTGATATTGAGCAGGGAAACTCTCACACAGAGGTCACAAGCCTTTGTTTATATTCTGCCTGGCTAGAAGCATGTACCTTCCTTGGGAAAAAAATGTGTTATTGTTGAATTATTCAGTTTTACTTCATTTACATGCAGGTATAGGTGGATATTCTCAGTTCAGTCAGAGAGAAAAGGAGACATTTCTACCAGGCTTGGCCTGGGAAGAGTTTCAAATTAATGTAAATAATTCTCTATCTCTCTTGTTGTTCACCTTGTTTATAGATATGTTCTGCCACTGTGCATCATTCACAGCGCACCAATGGCATGCGATACTCTTACTTTAAGACCAGTGAAATCGGTCTGCATGATATTCTCCATAAAAAGAGCAGTGTATTTTAAATAAATCAGTTCTCTTCTTGCCTTCTGACTTGGAGTCTCTTTTGTTCCAGTCCTGCCTCAATGGCGACAGGTATATATAATTATTACTATCATTATTCACGTGTGTTGTTTTATTGCCCACTAGCTCACTTCCAAGGTGAATGATTTTGTGATGGATGTAGCAGAAATCTGAAAGAAAACAACAGTGACTACTTCACACAGATGAAAATGTCCTTTTCTGGCTCAGTCCTGGCTGTTCCTATAAAACCATGAGCTGTGGAGTATTCAAAGCCAACATATTTCCACCAATAATAGAATTAAACAATTGCCCCAAACAAATAGATGCATGAGGAAGAGAAGAAAGCAAGGGTAGCCTGAGAGGGTGTTCATGTAGATTAGCTGTTTAATCTCAATTTAGCTCACCATCTGCCTCCTCCTAACCTGCATGTTCAAGACAGCACAGTGTTTCAAAAAAGAAGTGAGAATTTGCCTGATGCACATGGATGAAATTGCTGCTTCCCGTACAAACAAACTACTGTTTGTTCATGGTTCTCTTTCTGTCCCATCAGAGTGCCTTTGTTTTAACCATGCTAGAATTAAACACTGTACACTTACACTGTGGTTCTTTATGTATTTTTATATATGCGCTGCATAGAGAAACCAATATGTGTATCTGCATGCGTGTGCTATTGCTAGGTGTGTGCACAAGTATACACACCCCCCCACACACACATTTTTCTAAATTTATTCATCTACATGTAAAAGTTTCATAGGAATAACAGTATTTGAGAGGTATTTTAGAAGTGTATACCTGGACATTCATGAGAGAAAGGGATGATTAAGCCTGATGCTACAACATTTTCCAAGGTAAGGGAGTAATAGAAATCCAACCTCTGGTTTCAGCACATTTGATATTAATTATTATAATAAACAGCTTATCTATAGGGAAAATAGAAATTTCCCAGGATTAATGGAACATTTTAAAGTCATAATATATTTAATGCATGAGTTACTTATTTGGATTTGTAGTGAAGAAACAGAAGAAAACAAATACTTTGAGTAACCCCTCAAATTATATTTTCTAGTAGCTGCTTAAAATATGATGATGACTAAAAATGTAAGAGATTGTGCCATTTTTCCTCTTATACAGCTCTTGTTTTCAGACTTCAGAACTGGATTCACACTGCTCTCCCAGGAGGAGCTTGGCTGGTGGATTCTTGGGTAGCTGGCTTCCAGAGGAAAGGGCTTGTCCTGCCCTGAACAGTCAGTTTGCCCTTTGCCAACCCACATGTCTCTATCACCCCACCAAGCTGTTATAAAGGGTATTCTCTTCCAAGCAAAGAGAAGCATCTTCTAAAACATTAATGAGCTGGAAGGATCACGAACATGTTAGCATCCCTTGGTCCTGCAGATAACCAAACTTGGTAGCCCAGATTTTTTTCCAATTGCATAGGAGCAGTGAAAGTGAATGGTCTTCAAGAGCATATAGTATCCCAGCTCCCTATTTGCATTTTCATAGCTTTAGGGCTTTTGTAAGCAAACATGTTGTTTTGCAATGAACTTCAAGAGCAAAATACAGAGCTGAATAATTCAGGTCCCCTATTTTTATTACATTTCAGAAATGGACCCATCTATATGTTTCACTGCTAATTTATACTCCACAAGAACCCTTTTGGCTACACAAAGGTCCCACAAAATGTAAGGTCACAAAGATGCTGCTTCCAGATTTTCTGTTATTAGCAATCAAAAGTGTCCTGCCTGTGACATTATTCACTCTCTAAGGTATTCCTCCATGCCAAAAAAAAAAAAAAATATATATACCTCATTTAAAATCCTGAGTGGGAAAAATATTAAGATCTGAAAGACTACAGGAGACAAAATATGTGCACAGGCCCTGTGTGGATTTCAGGTGAGAGCTGGTCCCCTTGTTCATCACTTAACAACAGAGAGGAGCAGAATTCATCACTTGCATATAAATAAGTAAGTGAGCTCTGATGTGTTGCAGGGACCACCCACCCTGCTCCAGCAGTGTCCTAGCTGGTCTCTCCTCTCTGCCTGCAGGAAAGCCTCAGGTTTTATAAGTGCCACCTTTCTCATCTCTGCTGTTTTCTTCTGGCTGGCTGTGTTTGATTTTTAAATTTTGCTCAATCCATCTTTCATATCCTCTCAGCACCACTTTCCTCTCTTTCCTCTCTTTCCTCTCTTCTGTTTCATAACTAGAGGCTTTTAAGTGTCTTCACCATAATTTCCAACCACTATCTATTTCTTTGCTTGTTTACTCTAGAGAGAATGTGAGCACCAAAACATTAGTTTTCAGTCAATCAGAGACTTTCAAAATTTATCAAACCTCTTCTCCTCATTTTGTAATGATTATTATAATACTCCCATTTTTCTAAATGAGCTTTTCAACATACTTTTTTCTGTCTATGCTTTCTAATGGCTTTCTAATGACCAAAATTTATAGAGCAATTTATATTTAATAAAGCTGATGTCTGTTTGCTTAACACAAGATAATGTTTGCTAATAAGAGGGCATTTGAATAATCAGCTACACAGCCCTCAGAAGCAAGGCAAGAAAATAGGAAACTGCAAGTCATAGTGGATCTATAATGAAACAATGCCCTCCATCCAAGCATGATGTGTGAGAGGAGCACTTGAGCTCTACTAAATCAGCTAATCAAGGCAGTGGAGGCCCCACTTGCATGAAACAAAACCAATAGATAATTAGTATCTCAGGACAAGCTTCAAAAACAATGAAACAGGAGGATCTTAAGCCTGATGCTACAACATTTTCCAAGGTAAGGGATTTTGTACTGTAAAAGTTCAGAGCAGGAGCTGCCTGGGCAATTTTCACACAGTGCCTGGATGCAGTAACACGTGTATGATTTCTATTTCCTGCCCTCCCCTCTACAGTTTTCTCAGATGCTCCTCCCGCTCATGTCAGAAGCACTACACTTAACTTTTGGCATCCTAATTTCTTTTTCCATTAATACATTTTGTATCATCTCTCAGAGTCTTTGATTTGCTCACTTCCTGTTTTTGGAGAGTCTTACAACTGAAGTATTTCCAACAGCATGCCTCACAAAGGCACATTAAAAGATAGCAGAACAATTTGAGTCCCAACATACCTAAAGTTCATTGTTAACAAAGTTTTCTTATTTTTCCATTTACAATGTCCATTTACAGGGACATTGCCACTCTCCTCAGAGTCCTTGGCCTTTTGCCATCACTTTGAAAGGGAAACTGCCACAAAAGTCAACGGGAGATTAGCATAACACTCAGTGACAGATTTGGCATGTTGCAGCTTGAATTTGCTTGAAGGGTCATAAGACTTAATAAGTGTTCATATCAGCCCCCTTTGGCCATGTAATAATATACTCCATCACTGACACAGCATTAAAAACCTGAAATTCATTACACATTGAACCACCCATGGTAATTTTGCTATCACTCACCCTGATGCAAGTTAGCTTTGGTGCCATAGATATTGTTTCATGACAGCTCTACAGTTCTTTTTAGTCATCACATTAGGTTGTCTCCATCCTCTTGCTGCTACTGTCTACCTTAAGGTTTTATTTCCACTACTAGATTTTAAACTCCTGCCTCTGGAACTGTATATGAAACATACAGACATGTTTTTTGTCATTTACAAAATGGCTATTCATCTATTCATTCAAATTCGTACATTCATTGTCAGATACTCCCTATATCGCCTTTGCACACATACAGAAATGCTAATTCTCTATGAAAGCAGATATAAATGAAGGTTTAGCATATGTACCTTTAAACTCAAACACCAGTTTGAATCTTCCTGGCATTTGACCTTTTCCACTCACCAGCTCAAACTCAGAGGCAGAAATGTGCAAAAATAAGAAGAGAGGGAGTCTCTGTTTTCATCCAGTATATAAGCAATAAGTGACACTATTGAAATGGGGCAATTGTTCAATCACTGAGAGAATTAAGCTAATTCAGATTGATTTGGGATGAAAACACAAAGTATTACTAATCCCAAGTGAAACACAGCAAACACAATTACCATTCATTTGGAGAAGTAAAACTGAAGATATGCCAACATGCTTTTACAGACCAAGGACAACTAATCATTCTACACTAAACTTTTTCAGCTGAGTCTTCATGCACACTTCACGGTGTCTAAACTTTCTAAAACAGAAAATAATTTCTAATAAACAGCAAGTAATCTCTTAATAAAATTTTAAATAAACTCTAGCCTTGGCAGGTAAGCATCCCAATTAAAACTGGGACACTAATCAAGACCTTCACTAGGGCCTTTCAGCTGGCTCTGTGCGCAGCTCCTGAGAAAGCTGAATAAGAAAAGCAAGGGCACACACACATACACATACATGTGATATTCCCTGGGGAAATGCCACTCCATCACAATGCAGCAACAAATGCAGTGGGTCTGGCTCTGTAAAGAGTGGCCTGCAAGCTCATTTTCAGCTCACTACCTATTATCCCGTAGCATTTCACCCTTACTCTCACAAAGGCCCTTGCAACAACTTCCTTTCTGATTAGCCTCACTGTTCAAAGTGTCCATGACAAAAAATGAGTGTGTGGTGCCTTTCACTGTCTGGCAGTATGGAGATGAAAGATGTCCTTTGTAAACAAGAACTCCTGCTGCTGCAATTTCAAACCACTGGGGCGAAACAGAGGCTGACAAGCTTAAAACCCTTTTTCAGACTTCCAGTTCTTCTTTCAAGGTTTTTCTGGCTGAAATGCTGTTTTTCTAGCTTTGTTACTGGACTTGCATCCAATGTTTACATTGCATTACCAATATCTGTTCTATATTGCTTCTGTCACAGTGTTTCAGATAGCAAACATTTTTGTTTTATAGCTCTCCTGCTTCCCTTTAACTTATGACCTTTATTGAAAATGAACCATTTGTTTGCAGAATGTCAGGCAAAAGGGCTGAATCACAGGGGCTTGGCATCTGTGAAATGCTTTACAATCCATCGCAGCTGTATCGGGTAAGTCGTGATGGAAAACTATAAAATTCCGGGGATTATTCTGCAGGACCCTTATTTG